GGTTACTGCAGAGATGACACAAGGCGGCAACATCTAATGGGCTGAAGCCTGCAGATGGAAATGCAGGGGGAATAGCATACCTTCTGCCGTAGGCTCCGGCCAGTCACACCAACCGCTCAGGGTGCGCCTTTGCGCGATTTGTTGGTCCACAAGTTCTGGACGGGCCTTCAATCACCAACAGAGCCTCGCTTGCAATCCGTCAGCCTTGCCATTCGATTGGCTGTCGTTGGCTTGGCTGGGTGACACGACGTAGCAAGCGCGTCCTGCACCAATTGGACTCACTGTGGCTTCAGGCACTCTGGTCAAGCACTTCGACCTGTCACTCGTACCGTACAGGCACCAGGATTCAGGAACAACATCCACGCACACATGAAATGTTGGCACACAATGCATCTGCCTACTTCTGCGACATCTGCTATGACGGTGGCCGAGAGATTGCTATTTGGAACAGGTTGATTGTGTTGATTTGAATCACTCCCACCGCGTGCGGCTGTGTACTTGTGGTGCGCGGTGCAAACCGATTGTTGGGGGGGCGGCGTCAAGCCCGCAGGGCGGGGATTGTTACGAGCCAACGTACCTCCATCAACCAACATGCATCGACCCAACAAAGGCCAGCATCGCTGGACCAACAGGTTACATTACCAACACGGCATGTGATGGATTGGCTTTGGGGCTGGCTTTGGGTATATCACTGTAGTGCAGGACCCGTCCCATCACTTCGGAACTTCCCTCTTGACAAATCGCTGCAACACATGCTACGGAATACAGTAACGGCCAAGATGAATACGCGAGCCGTGCAATCAACGCCAAACCTGTCGCGGGAGGCTGCGTTTCAGATCAGTGGTGGCATGACGCATTCGCAGCAACCCGCCGCCCCAATGATCAACCACCGAAGTGCCTATTTGAACAATTTTTGGGACTCTTCACGTGGCATGAGAGATCCGACAAGGCACCATCGTGTCGCTCCTGGCGGGCAAACTTACCAACCAGACCGGTACGCCGGAGCCCAGACTCACGCGGGTCGTGCTTCTGTCCAGGCCCAGCAACCGGCGCCCGACCTCACGCATGGAGCCCCCGTGCCGCGACAATACACAGTAATCAGTCAGCAGGCTAGTGTAGAAAACGTCAACACCGATCGAGGCAGTCCGAGTGATCAACGAGCGCCTGCAAACGCTGATGCTCCAGTCAGTTGTGAGGGTCAAAGCCTGCCTGTGCCACCGCCTGAAGAAGTCGAGCTGCTGTTCAGCGACGCAAAACTGATTTGGGATTGGAATTTTGATACCTTTACGGTGCCTACGACTTCATTGAGGGCATCAAATATCGCAGGCGTTGAACCGACGACCTGTACTGAGGACGAACCGTGGTGTCGCCTGAAGCTGTCCCTCAGCACCCGTGACGCCTTACTATACATGGTATATCGCCGCTTCGTACCAACAGACAACTCGCCCTCTTTCCCGCCTTCACATATCCTGTCACAGTTCCTGTGTTGTTATTTTGTCAAAGCCGAGGGACAGTCGGACAACTTCATACACCTTCCTTCCCTTGACACGAACCAAGTACCGGTGTATCTGTTAGCAGCCATGATTGCAAAGGGTGCCATGGCCGTGCCCTCAACTGTTGCTCAAAGTTTTGGGCTCGCTCTGGCAGAGGTCGTTTGCGCTTCGCTTTCGGAACAGGTATGTGTTCTCGGACGAGCTTGTTCATTTCGTAACCGCTGATTTGCTCGTACGCTGGGTACTCAGTGGCCACAAACCCCAGACCTTTCAGCCTTGACATTGGAGGATATGCAAGCTGTGGTCATTTGCTTAGACATTTGCTTGTGGTGTGGATACTCCGCAGCAAACCATCTGGTCAACGCATTAGCAACAACTGCGACAGAGGTAGGTCTGCTGTGGGTACCCCAATGTGACACTGTATCTGATTGATTGCAGTTCCTTCGCAAGTACATGCACGACTCCGAACTTCATGATGGCAATGACTTGAGCCCGGCCTCTTCCGACGACGACGAAACGATTATATCGAAGTGGCAACAATTTATCGAGAGGGAATCGCGCAAGAGGTTCGACTTACCGTTTCGCTAATGTGGACGCCATTGACATGCAAGACTAGACTTCTGGCTCATATCTACATCTCGATAACGCGATGGTCAATCTGGCGTTGCTCGAAACCTACATTCGAGTTCAGTGATCTTGGTTGCAGTCCTGCAGCGTCTGCAGATCTGTGGAACGCACTCAACGCGGAAGAATGGCGAGATGCCAACGCCTGCCACGCCACGCCGAGCTCCCCTCGGCCTCGGATGGGCGACCGCCCCGTCGAGCACTTAGACGAACGAGGTTGGGGGCTGCTTCTTGACGTGGGCCTCTGCGAGACCGCCTACGTGCACGGTTTATGGGCATTTGTTTATTCGAACTCTGTGAGGGATGGTCGGGGAGACCAGGCCAGGGTCGGACTTTTCGAGCGACTCAACAGTGTTCCACTGGAGGTTGCGGCGTCGTTGAGATCCGTCGCACAAAACCAGGGCTTCATCGACGAGGATAATTCGGAGATCTCAGGACATCACGGCACCCTGATCCTGTTGTCACGACTCTTCCTTATCATCTGTCATATCAGTCCAGCGCAGCTCGAAAACTTGAGGAAGTTCCTGGGCCGCCGAGACGGTCATGCCGCAATGGAGTTCATCCGCAGCTGGGCTATGACGCCAGAGGCAAGGGAATCCGTCTGTCAAGCCGGGCAGATACTTCGATGTGCGCGAAGGATGTGCCCGGGCACTTTGACCACTATCCAGGCCGTTGCTGTCTACTTCGCCACACTTGCGCTTTGGGCGTATGGGAAAGCGCATTTGCAGTTCGCCTGGGAGCTTCAAAACCTGCACGCCTGCATTCAAGCGGGTCGATCTGGTGTCGGTCGTCGGTCTTTCGGCCTTCACATCGATTCGGTCGCGCTAAAGGCCTATTGTGCAAAATCTATGCTCTATACAGCCACGATCGGAGCAGCAACAGGTGACACATCTATCATCTGGCTGGATGGAGCTGATGAAGCAAGAATTCAGATGTTCAGAGAACATAACCAAGGAGTCCCATCGGTGCGCATAGGCCCGCGCTCGGATTCGCGTGAATCGATCCCTCTGTGTGAGCTAGACCAGGTTTTGCGAATTGGTGCACACATTCTGCGGAATAATCTCGTCCCTGATGTTGACGACATGCCGGCGTTACCGTCTGTGGCGAGGGGATTGGAGAAAAAGCTACTGGAGCTCGCCTCTTTGTCAAAACGCAAAAGGGGTGAGGAAGAAGGCTTGTAGGATCTGCAAAGGTTCGCAACAGGGCATTGCAGATAATTTTAGGAGAACTTTTTCCTTCGCAAATAACCCTGACGGCGTATGTAACAGGCAGGATAACAAATAGCGGAGTAGTGACAAAGCTTCTTCTGGGGGTGGAATCGAGGGTATCATAAGTCCGTACTAGGTAGTAATTTAATCCACCCCCCGTGGGCGGTTAGACAAAGGGCGAATGTCCCAAGGCCACACGCTTGACACAGGGCCACAGAGCATCCACGATCTTCTGTACTCTCTGCCCCACAATGGTGCTCTCAACAGCAAAGCCAAGTACACCGACTGTGTACAAAGCCATCAGGATTGACCACACAACGACTTGATCTCCCGTCAGAGAGCTGACGCCGTCCAAAACAGAAACGTCTGCCTTGTTCGTACCAAAATAGTCTTCGTACAATTGCTCAAGCTCCGGCGAACACATCAGAGTATGTCTACCGTCGGCACGGACCACGTCCTTCTTTGCACTCTGTCGCAAGCTCTCTGTGCGGTAGAAAGATGCAAACGCCCTGCTGTTGAAAATTTGCCAAACGGGTAGAGAACGCTCCCCACAACGCCTCTTCGGCCCGGGTTCGATGAGAAACCAGGCAAAGGGCAAACGATATTGTTTCTGCAGTCCCGCCAACAGAAGAACAAGAGTTCTTCTCCAGCTCTCGACATCCTGCATCGTGGGTTCGCTGTCGGCGGCCCAAACTGAGGGCATCTCCTGCTCGAGTCTCTCACGAATCGATGGCTCATTGCCCGCAAGGGCATGGAGGACACCACACGTTAAAAGAGGGCAAATCCATGCTGTCGTGGTGCTTTTGTAGTGACCCGGCACCAGCTGGGGAGAGTGCGCAGCCCGAGGATCCAGTCTGGTCAAAAGTATCGGAGTTCGTCGTATTCGTCTTCTCCTTTGCGAAGGCGTAGCAAAGGCATTCCGCTGGGTCATGGCTAACACCTGCTTCGTTGCCTATCAGAAGATAACCGATTAAACGATGCCCGCTAGACAGCAACGCTGCATCGTTGTCAAAATAACGCTTCGTCGCTGATTGTCGTGAGCACTGAGCCAGCCCAATATCAAGGCAGAGAGCAAAAACTAGGAGAACCACTAGGTTGAAAACAACCGGGCGGCGGGAGGCCACTCGCCCTTTATGCCTCTTGGTATGGTAGTCTCACCCATACACCGCGAGTGACAGCCAATATGTGGGTCCAGAAGACGACTCTCACCACTCATCGTTCCTCTGCCATCCGATCCCCGTGTTTAGTCACCAGCCATCCCTGCCCACACGATTGGCTGTGAGGCCCCTGTCGGGTATTAGCATGGCCAGCGGAGCGCGTACAGCACTCTTGACGCTCATTTCCAACCCCTACAGTCGCCTGAGTTGGAAAACGAAGAGATTCCTGATTTTCTATCGACTGACTGATGCGGCCCTAACATTATCATAGCGCCACCCAGAGCTGGTGTGGGCCCCGGTCGAGAGCGCATGCCGAGACTCTGGCAGGCCCAGCCCCCCTTACAGTTAAATTGTTACCCGCAGACGTCGCCAGAAGCGCTGTTGTTCTAGAACATTCCCTGAGTAATTCCCGAATAGGTCCTCTCCCTTTCCTGACGTCTAACCCAACCTTTCTTCACCTTTCACCACTGCGTCGTTCTTTCACGTCTTGGATTAACAATACATCCGTGAGGCAGAACATGCGCCGCCCTGCCCCGTTCCCATATCCCTCCCCCCCGATCTCACCACACGATGGAGATACCGAAGGCGGTATCCGAGCAACGTTTGCGACACCGCCCGAACAGCCTCCAAGTCTCTCAGCTGTCGCTGAGAAGAGGCTGGGGATAACCCTGGAGGGTAATTTGCGGCTGAATCAGATACTCGGGACCGGAGCCTATGGCGTCGTCTACTTGGCTGTGGACGCCGAGACAGGAGACTGTTATGCCGCAAAGTGCCTCGAAAAGTTCAGCGCGGACGGGACGCCTCTAGGCCTCAGGGCCATCGCCCACCAGAGAGAGGAGATTCGGCTACACTCTTTAGCGTCCGCTCATCCGAACGTGGCATCGTTACACAAGGTCTTGGATTACCCTGACTGCACCTATGTCATCCTGGACTATTATCCTGAGGGTGACCTGTTCCGTAATATCACCGAGCTCAGGCGGTATGTTGGCAACGACGAGCTATGCAAGAAGGTGTTTGTCCAACTTTTAGACGCGGTGGAGTATTGCCATGGGCTAGGGATTTACCACCACCGGGATCTCAAGCCCGAGAACATTCTGGTGTCAGATGATGGCGATACTCTAAAACTAGCTGACTTTGGCCTTGCAACTTGTGACAGCGAATCCAATGAGTATGGCTGCGGCTCCATGACATATATGAGCCCAGGTAAGTTCACCCAAACCTCTAGTTCCATCGAGCTCTGAGTGCAGGGCGCTGAACCATGGTGTTTCATGGTACAGAATGCCTGGTCACTTGTCCTTCTGGCTGTGACCCGTATTACAAGTGCGGACCGCATGATGTCTGGTCGCTTGGTATCGTTCTCATCAATCTGACCTGCGGCCGGAACCCGTGGAAGGAGGCTTTGCCGAAAGACCGGGCTTACCGCAAGTTTACCCAACGCCGGGGCTTTCTCAAGACGATCCTTCCCTTGACAGACGAGTTCAACGATATTCTGTCTGACATCTTCAACCCGGATCCAGAACTCAGAATTACGATTCCAAAGCTCCGGGCCAGGATTATGGAGTGTCCCAGGTTCACGGTGCCCGCCGCAGAAATTGCGTCTCTGCCCTAAAGTGCACAACACACCCCCTCGTGATCATTGATTCCAGCGGTTTTGGCCAATCACTGGCCGCTGCGACGTCTGACACAAATCTCTTAGCACTACCAAACTATGTCTCGCTTGGCAAAGTAAGCAAGGCAAACATCCATAGATTCAAGCGGCCAGTAGAACCTCTCCATCTGACGGGTCTCGACCTGGTCTAGTAGAGGTCAACAAGAAGCCAATTACAGTGCATGACTTCCTAACATTGCGTTGTTGCCTCTCCGCAGCGCGCTCGTTGCGTACCCTCGAGTCGAACCAGGTTACACGGCCCCAGAGTTGACAACCTTCCGACGAGTTTTAATCCGTGAAGTCGGGCTGGTGTGAGCATTGAGGGGAGAAACCTGGACTTGAGACAATCCTCCTGAAATCGTGGGTAATATCGACCTGCTATCTCGTGCTGCCTGCGTTCAACATCGGCTCGGAAACGTCGCCAAACTCGTGGCTGTAGCCCTAATGTTGATGCCCTCGATGATGCAATGCGTGACTGTGCCTCCAATACGAATGGCAGCTCATTCGGGGTTTCTGCGTTCCCGCTGATGAGATGGTAAATGTCGCCGTGGAATGTGAGGATACCACTGCCTGAACAGAAGATGTTGCGTACTGCGAGAACGCGCGAATTCGCGGGGCAACGCCCGCGTCGACGATTCGGAGAACAGGGACATTCATCAAGTCGCAGACAATCGCCGACTTCGACTCGTTCTGCCCCGAGGAAACATCCGTAATAGCGAGGATTAGAGGGGTCCAGAGTGGTGTCCAAGCGCCCCCAAAGCGAGTGTTGCGCATTGATAGCAATAGCGGTCGCTTTCGTTGCTTCGTTATCACCTTGCTCATTGTCGCGGGGCGGACGGTTGTAAGGAAGTATAGTCTCCGGTCTTTCATATTTCCCAGGAATGGAATGACGCAAAGGGATGATGTTCATGCCGCGGCTATCCGTGCATATACCCAGCCACCATCCGCCACTATGGGGGGCTGTATACCAGACGACTTCACCGCCTCTCTGCAACATGAAAGGATTTGACGACCACAGTGGCGGAACCTTAGGTTCTGCTGGGGTTCTTCGAGACGAATCTGGTCTCACGCTTGATGGGTCAAGCATGTCTGCAAGATAGTGAAACCCTTGTCTCCTAGCAATTTCCAGCGGAGAGACCCAGTCTTCGCCGAGACCCGGCAGTCCTCGGGCTTCATGGCCAATTATGGAAGCATCAGCTCGTAGTAATGCCTGACAAAAGGCATCCAGTCCGAAATACACGGCCAAATGCAGTGGCTCCAGGATGATGTAGTCGTCGGGAATGGAACCGTCTTTGTCCGGGGCGAGCGGCACACCACGAATGCGACCGCATGACGACATGCACGGCATGTCTCTGCCATTGAGCCCGCAGCAAACCTCGAGCGTAGGCCAGTTCATCTCATCTTCAAGGACCATGATGGGGCATCCGGCGAGGTCCGGCTTGATTTCCAGGAAGCGCTCCAAGATCGGAAGGTGAGGATAGTCCGTCTCGTCGTTGAAAGCTTGGATAATTAGGTTGAGAATGCTTGTGGAAGCTGGTATCTGGTATTGCCATGCATCCCAAGGTGGTATTCCACTGCGTGGTGCGGGAGCAAGCCGCTCTTGTCCTCCAACCAAGCACCGAATCTTCTTCTCGTGAGGTAGTTGCGTTTGCATTGCTCTGTAGAGACTCCGAGATGAAAGTATCAGAGAGGTGACATCTGTAGGCAAGAGATGCGACGCAATCTCCATGACCAATTCTGCTGGAAGGTCGGGTAATTTGCTTCTTCGACCGCCCGTGTCGCAAACCCAATCCCGCAGAGCATCTCCCACGATCTCTGACGGGCAGAGCACGGCGCTGTCTGGTGTTGTATATGGCCCACTGAGCGCAAGGCTATCCCAATGAGAAGCAAGGACAGCCATTTGTTCGCGGATTTGCAGGAAGTCGGAATAAAGCTTCGCTCCGGCACTGTAGTCCGCATCCAGCAACGGATACGAGGCAAACAGCTGCATAGAGGACATCGTTAGCTTCCCAGTGCTGCTAGTGGGGCCAAGACACGACAGCATCTCAAATGCTGAATCGACAGTCTCGGGAGGAATTCCAAGAAGGTTGTGTACACGGGCCCTGTCCAGTGACCACTGACAGAAGAGTTGATGCAACACCACAAAAGTAGTGTCGCGCTCTGTAGCAGCCATTCTTAGGAGCTTGAGCCTCGTCTGGCTCACGTGTGCGTCTGCTGAAGTTGAATCGAGTTGGGCTAGTTTCCATTGTTGGGAGTCAAAATACCGGGACCACTGGTTCGGGACGATTGCGTTGCATAGTCGCTTCTCGCGACCATTGAGAGGCTCCCCAGGCCGCTTCGTCATGGTTAGTGGTAGGGCGGTTTTCTTGAGGTTTGGCACTTTCGGTGTCGTATCTTGCCTAACTTCTCTTCGTGATAACGACAAGATATTGAGGGGGATGCCCGGCCCTTTATATACGATATATTATGTTGGCTTGTGCCACCGCGGCAGGACTCCGCGAAGGCGACCCTACCATACGCCACTAGAATTATGGCCACGGTACACTCTTGATAGCGGTGCAGTTTTACAGCCCCCACCAGTGGCGGCGAGCTATCAATAGTACATGAGTCACTGCATGTTGGCCTGCCGCATCGACGTCTCCTCTGGGGCTGTTGGGCAGACCAACAGCGATGCTTGGGTAGGCGTCAGATCGAACACAGCGGACAGGCAGAACAAGGCATAGGCAGTCACACGAGTCAAAAGAATCCGCAACTTCGAAGAGACACGAAAATTACCCGGTCTGATACATCCAGTGTAGGGAGAGAACGCCCACAGCGGACTGCCTGCCTCATTCACACCCAAGCGTCATGGTCACGGAGTGTATTTCTACTTCCAACCCATGCGGGTTAGGGTTAATCATGGGTGGCACACCACCTGTGCAGGTAGGCGGGGCGGCAGCTCTGTTCTGTTCTGGATTGCTACGAGAACTATTCGCCGCCTCCTACCGAGACCGTTAAGGAGTGTTGTTGCGTTGCGGGGTGTCCGAGGTGTCATGAATGCCATGGGCCGCTCCGCAAGAAATCGGACACAACTGGGCTAGCATGCTTGCCCGTACACGCCACACAAACGAAGCTGAGTGCACAAGGTGCTGCTGGTGGAGCCTTCTCATGAGGTGGTTGCACCACCTCATCAGACACTGACCCTCGGCATTGCATTCCTTCCCTCTGCCAATATGACCAGAGCAGAAGCACCATCCAGGTCTTCGGCATCAACTTCCTTCTCAGTCTCACCCAGCTCTCGTGCAGCTGCTCTGACAGGGTCGAACATGGTCCTCTTCGTGCCCGTGAATACTGTGCTTTGGTTCGTCACCGTTTCCGGACCTGATGGACGACACATTGAGCTGTTGCAAGAGATGGCAGGTGTTCGGTCCCCTGGCGGATGGGCCCTGGCCTCCCTGGCGGCTGCATAGTATTGAGGATATGCCGATGATGGTTCTACGCTCAACTCTGGACGAGCTTGCGGGTTGGGGGTGTTTCGCGTGCGAAATGCATCTCTTGCGGGAGACGTCAAGTATCCTCCCGCTGGTTGAAATATACATCGTAAATTCCTCGTGTAGCAATTGTCGCAGCGGCCATTTGCTGTGTCCTGGTTACAAGCGCATCGGATCTGGGCAAGTGTCAGCCCTGGTTGGGTGTTGATTTGCCGTGGATCTCAATTTACCTTTCGCCTCCTGCAGAAATTGCATGCAATTGGGTTGCGCCGTCGGTGGTACTGTTCATTGGCGCGGGAGGAGATGCGTTGATATCCTGGTGGCTGCTTGGGATGCCTTGGACCGGTATCCGTAACGTTGAAGCCCAGCATAGAGTGCATCATGCCTGTGCCATGCTTGGGCGTCGTGGTAGGCATGGAGTAAACAAAGATAGCGTATTGAGCTCGGTCGGTTCGTAAGGTGAGTGAGCGATTGTGCGACTGGCCAGAAGAGTGATGGAAAGGTGAGATACAGCAAAAGTAGACGAGGGACAGTCGGGAAAGCAATGGAAAGGCAAATCGTATCCGCCCCCACAAATGGGTCAGGCGGTTCGAGCTACCTCGTTTGTCTGGGCGACCTGTAGAAATTGCCATGCTGTCTCTGCCTGCCGTGCCATTGAGCACTAACAGTGGGTAGCGGTGGCCGACCTCTCGGGATGCATGCTCGAACGATAAAAGCTTCAGCACGGCAAGTAAAGCTTGCCCTCATGATGACACGGTTGATCTCGCTCCCGAGTGTCCCACCGCGTCAGGTGGTCAAGTTCACCTCCTGCCGCCAGGGGCTGGG